TTCTCCCCCCAAACCCAAACAAGCATTATTATTTAATAAGAATAATGACAGTTTTGCCTTTCCATCGTGGCTCATCTTAAAAGTGAATAAAGTCAACTTGGACACGTGACACATCCTATTATCTGCAGGTTTCTTTCTTTGATCAGGTCCAATATCTTGTCTTGTACTCTGTTGTATAAGATTTCCTTTCGTTCCACCAATTTTTCTCTCACCTGAATATTTTCGCCAATCCCACTGGACAGTATTTAGCCCGGTTGGACTCACTGTAAGACAAGACCTTGTGAAGGGGTAGGGGAGGGGGGGGGGAGCGATAGAGAAACTGTGAGTCTTTGCCTTCGCTTCCAGAAAATACCCAGAACCTCATATTAAAATGTAGAACGACATCTGGTATGACAAGGAGGTAACCATGACGACATAGTAATGTGCGTGAGTCTGTGTGTAAGATCTTTATTTCTCTTCACGACTTTGTTCAAACCGTTTGACCTATTGAGCTACTAATGTTCAAACTGTGTGTTGAGTATTTTTCCGCTCGATATACAACCCTCAGGGTACAACATACAGCTGACACACCAACACAGTTACTCCCCTTTGTGCGTTTCACGACGGCCACGTATTCTTCCACATCTTCACATCGCCATGTTTATCATCCCAGCTCAAGCCACGCACAAACTGGTGACGCCACAGAACTTCCGGCGTCACAAGGGATATCACCCACCATGTCTCTCACTTTTTCACCTAACATTTCAGGCCTCTTTCCTCATCATGTTCATCTTGTCTTCGTGACAGAATTTTTGTCGATTAAGCAGAGACATCAGGGAAAGGCGGGTAGGGTTACCCGACAACAAGGCTTTGCTCTGTCACAAACTGCACCTATGGGTGTGACGCTGTGGTGAAATCAGACGCTCGTGAAAATAATGAAATGGAAGAAATAGATATTTTTCCGCCTGTTAGGCAATTTTTATCGATTTTTTGTCTTTTGGCTGAACAACTTTTCTGCAGTATTAAAACGACTAAAATTTTATGTGTTGGTTTTACTGAAAACCGTTGATCAAAGGGGCTAGAAATGTAGATTTGCAGCTTTTAAAGAACCCAAAATTTGGAAGTGACCAAAAATATAAAATAGTAGAGATATATATATATAAATGCTGCCAACCCGCACTTTTCTGACACTGTCCCAGGTGACAAGACGTCATCACAGCGTGACCTTCGCTGTTTCCAGCTATGCCAGGGATATTTGAGAAGATGAGCAGGGACGAAGGCCGTGGAAGGGGGGGGGGGTAGCAGGAAGGGAGAAGGATGGAAGGGTGGGGGTAAATCTGGGAAGTGAAGAACATTACTTGTTTGTTGGGTAACCCGAGAGAATTGATCAGCGAGTTTTCCTGCGCACAAAAAACTGAGAGCTCTGCCATAACTGTGTGTAATAACCGTGTCATAACAACATTATAATAACGCACAGTGTCATAACACCATTGTAAGAATAACCAACAGTGTAATAACATTGTACCACTTATCGTGTTCCGCAAACAGACCGATGCACTACACAAGTTTGCCAACCAAAGCAGCAATTTTACCCTCTCCTGTTTTACCAATCATTTTTGTACTTTCTTTATTTGTTTTCTTTCTTACATAACGTGCAAATAAATGATTTTTTGAAGTAGACAGGTACTAGCGTTTTGTCAATTTGTTGACAATGTTTTTTGACATACTTTTTCTATGAAGACAATAAAATGTTTAGCAGCTTTTGCCTGTGTTGAGAATTGAATTCATTTTGCTGTTGTTGTTGTTTTATTGTTGTTGTTGTTGTTGTTGTTGTTGGGTTTGTTGTTGGTATGTTTGTTTGTTGGTTTATTTGTTTGTTTGTTTGTTTGTTGTGCATTTAATAGTTTGCTTGTTTTTTTTGGTTCACATGCTTCATATTGCAGACATTGGCGTGTCTTTGACTCTCGATGATACATCGAGGTTGGGGGTCACATCTGGCCATCCTGAATAACAAAGGCGCTCCGTCAGCTCAGTTGCTATCGTGCAGGAATACAAAGCGGATGGCCCTGGTTCGAAACCCAGACCGGGCGTTCTTGAATGCGGGTTGTTTGATAACGTTTCCAAAGGTCTCAACACATTTGGTTTTCGGTCCTATTGGAGACGGACGTTAAACTCAGAGGTCCCACCTCTTATGAAGCCTTATTGTATCGTCGATAGAAGCATTAACCCCCCCCCCCAATACTTACCTGAATAATTTAAAAGAATGATTTGGTCTTGTGTCTACATCCGATGTTTGTGGCAGAGTAGCACCGTCGTTTACGACATGACAGTCCGTTTATTTCTAGTTTTAGTAAGAGCTTTACGACACTTGCAATACAAATAGGTCATAGTTACACGCGAAGAAGAGAAGGAGGAGAAATTTAAAGGAAGAAAGATATTTGAATAGGAAAGAAGAAGCAAACTACACAAGGGCACCTGCCAAACACTCACCCGTCATTCCATGTTTGACCTACAGATGACACCGTCGGTTGTTGCTTTTTTATGTAGGTGTATTTTACGTTCCCATTGACACCATTTAGATCGTCCACAAAGCAGGCATCCGACCCTGCTAGTCGGGACCAGCCCTGGCTGAACTGAGAGAAACACAACATCCAGTCCCAGCAGTAAAATCAAAATATTATTAAAAATTTCTCCTCACTCTAGGATCGAACTCGGGTTTCTTGGGTGCAACAGCGTGGCGTCTAACCGCTACACCACAGACGCTGTCCCTTGTCGTTGAGGGCATGATGTTCATTTTACTCCCAAAAAAATCTTGCACGTCAGGACGATAATTTATATGTATGTGTCATTTCCTGTTTGTATTTTATTTTCCCCTCAATGCAGGTGGTAGCCGGTGTTCCTGAGTTGTTTACTCCTTCTTTCCTATCAAACTTGTTACTTGTATAACTCTTATCTCTCCACCACCACCACCTCCTTCTCCTCCTCCTCCTCCCCCTTTTCTTTCCTTTTCTTTGTATGTTACTCTCAAGTAACACCTTTTATTTTCAGCACTTACATGACCTATTTGTAGTTGTAAGTGCCGTAAAGCTCTTACCAAAAGTTAACTCAACGTCAACAAAATACGTACACAATACACCCAAACACTCACAGAACGTACATACATACACAAACACTCACACCCCCCC